CATAGCCCTAAACCTAACCCTAACCATAGCCCTAATCCTTACCATAACCCTAACCCTAACCATAGCCCTAATCTTGACCCTATCTATAACCCTAACTCTCATCATAACCCGAACACTAACCATAGGCCTACACAAAACCACCATCCAAAAATTATCTTACAGTGGCAGCCAATAGATGGCGCCACGTGCTTACTTTAGCATCTCGTAATTATTCTCGTTGAGGCAAAATTATTTTACGACCCTAACTCTAGCATAAAACCTAACCCTTATCATAACCTTAAAATTATTTTACAGTGGCAGCCAACAGNGATGGATCCACGTGGGTAGTGTCAAATAAATCATGTGTGACTGTAATCGGTGGGCTAATAATATAAAGTGACTGGCAATACTAGAATGCTGCGATAACATACTGTTAGTCTGTCATGGTTAATGGTTAGCGGTGACTAGCAGGACGAACTGAGGGACTGGACTGGAGGTTCGAGGTGAATAGGTAATACTAGAAGGCTGTAATAACGTACTGTTTGCCACGTCGGTAGTGTCGCACGTATTCAAAGGACACAGACAATACTAAAAGGTGTTGACTGGCAAAGGTAATACTAGAAGGCTGTAATAGCGTACTGTTTGCCACGTGGGTAGTGTCGCACGTATTCGCCGAAGTCGTGAGCGGCGACGGAGAGTATCAGTGGATCCTTCATTGTCTCCATCAGCTTGAAGAGGATCCTGTAATACGTGTCGTGATGGCGTCAGCAAGCAGGAGATTCACCTAATCCTAACCCTATCCCGAATAGTAACCCTAGCCCTAACTCTGACCCTAACTCTAACTCTGGCCCTAACTCTGACCATAACCTTAACGCCAACCCTAACCCTATGCCCAAACTCTGACCCTAACATTAACCCTAACCCAAAGCTTAACCCTGACCTGACCCTAACTCTAACCCTAAATCTAATCCTTACCATAACCCTAACCCTAACCATAGCCCTAATCTTGACCCTATCTATAACGCCTGAACTCTCATCATAACCGCGAACACTAAACCATAGGGCCTACACAAAACCATCCATCCAAAAATTATCTGTATACAGTGGCAGCCAATAACGATGGCGATGCCAACGTGCTATACTTTAGCATCTCGTAATTATCTCGTTGAGGCAAAATTATTTGTACGACGGCCTAACTCTAGCATAAAACCTAACCCTTATCATAACCTTAAAATTATTTTATGACCCTAACTCTAGCACTAAACCTAACCCTTATCATAACCTTAAAATTATTTTATGACCCTAACTCTAGCACTAAAACCAACCCTTTTCATAACCCTAAAATTATTTTACGACCCTAACTCTAGCACTAAACCGCTAACGCTTATCAATAACCCTAAATTATTTTACGAACCCTAAAACTCTAGCATTAACCTAACCCTTATCATAACCCTAAAATATCTTACAGCCAACAGATGGCGCCACGTGCTTACTTAAAGCAGCTCGTAGTTTTCTCGTTTGAGGCGGGCCGCGTTCTCACGCCAAAAACTTCTCCGACTTGTGAACGGGGACTCCACTCCAGCCGCCCAGACTTCACCTCAGATGAGTATTCATCAAAAGACTGCAAGTATGCGGTGGAGAGAAATAAATAGTAGTGATGATGATAATAATGATAATAATAATAATGATAATAATAATAGTAATGACAGTAATGACAATACTTTAATAACAATAATGATAACGATGATGATGATAATAATAATATTACTAATATAATGATAGCAATAATGATTTTTTAATAATAATATTGCAGAGCGAGTTTAACCAAGTCATGGTTAAAATTTTAATTATGCATGTTAAATACATGATAGTATGAAGTAACATAGAATTGAAATTTATGGTATATTTACATTGACGCATTGAACGACTGAAGGTATCAATAATTATACACAAAATAACATTAACGCACGTTAACAAGTTACTTATCTATGCATATATAAATACATGCACGTATCAAATGTATAACATAATAAAATAAATAAATATATGCATTCACGTATGTACGCATAAAAACTTAAAATGATATTAAACTAAACTGTTGTTTTCTCGCTGCCAGCAAACATTTTTTTTCTCACAATTAAAATATCGTACAGATACCGTACTGTATCCACGCAGTGTGGTGCAAACCAACATGCGACCTACAAAACCGCTTCGATTCACAATCATCGAGTAACGGTGGTGGTGCCAGCAGATCACCACGGGAGATATGTTACCAGGGGGCGCCGCCGCCGGAACCAGTATGCCCAATGAATAAGGTCATACTGATGTAATAGAGGAAAGCAACGACCCAGGAAGCCAAGGTCGAAAATTAGGCAGATCATCCCCACAGAATGCTATGATATCCTATCCCATCACAACGAGATATACGTTACCAGCTGCTGCCGAAACCAATATTCCCCATAACTGAGGTCATACCGATGTAACAACGAATTTAAAATGATGTAACAGAGGAAAGCAATGACTCAAGGAGGGTGAGGTGTAAATGAAGCAAAACATGAACACACGAAGGTTCACAACCACACCTCCTCCCTCCTCCTCCTCCTCCTCCTCTCTCCCCCTAGTCCTCCCTCCCTCCTCCCCTTTCTTCTTCCTCCCTCCCTCCTCCTCCCTCCTCCTCCTCCTCCCTCCCTCCATCCTCCCTCCTCCTCCTCACCTGAGGTCCTGCACCTCTGCGAGCAGCTTCTCGTTGAGGAAGGCGATGTCATCGCTGAGGTCCGGATCGTCCGACTTGTGATTGTCGAGCAACGACAGCTGCTTCAGCACCTTGCTTGCCCCGAACCCTCCCTCCTCCCTCCCTCCTCCTCCTCCTCCTGCTCCAATCCCCTAGTACTCCCTTCTCCGTCCTCCCTTTCTCCTTCTCCCTCCTCCTCGCCTCCTCCTCCATCATTATCCCTCCCTCTGTCCTCCCCCTCCCTCCTCCTCTCCCTCCTCCTCCTCCCTCCCGTCCTCCTCCCTCCCTGAGGTCCTGCACCTCTGGCGAGCGCTTCTCGCTTGAGGAACGGCGATGTCATCGTGAGTGTTCCGGATCGTTCCGACTTGTGATTGTCGAGCAGCGACAGCTGCTTTCAGCACCTTGCATGACACCATCGCGATCGCGTTGTCCTGAACGATGTCTCGCTCCTCCGGCTTCTCCAGAAGGTTCTGCAAGAGGTCGCGCAAGAGGTCATGCGCAGGTAAAATCGAAGGTCACGTAGAGGTCACGAAGAGGTCACACCAAAGGTTGGCACATGTCGTGGAGATTTAACATGAAGGTAGCACCGATAGGGTCGCACGGAGGTCGCGTTAAAGGGCATGCAGAGGTCAGTGCGCGTTGTGGAGAATTCAGACAAAATCGCATGGAGGTCGCACAGATAGGTCATGCGCAGAGGTCAGGCAAAGGTCGCACACGGTCGTGTAGTCACGTCTCGTCGCACCAATTTTAAGCACTTTCTCGCTTTTCACTCTCCCGACCACTTCGCCAAAAGAATTCACGAGAAAAAATTAATGCCACAACTAACATCCTATGCTTTAACATGTCTTCTTTTGTGGAACCTAGCGCGAATAAATAATATAACACGTGCGCAGAGCGCAGCGCTCACACTGACGGTACTGTACCGCTATTCTTCTGATAACTCACTGGCAACCCGAACAAGTGCGCCCTCCCGCCACTCGTCTGATCAGGCTTGCTATAACCGGTAGTGGCAGTACTAAAGATATAGCTGTGTAGCTTTATGACTTCGCTTATATTAACGTTATCATGATATAGCTCGACAGTTTAGTCGTTTGTTAACAGTCAACAAATCCATGTTTAACGCCTCCTCTTGGGTCAAAAAGTTATCAGACACTTCTTCTTCCACGTCAGTGGAAACCCATTTTATGGTCCTTTCATAAGGCCATAAAAATGGTAGGGTCACGTGAAACAAAAAAGTTTCCAATCCTTCCGTCAGAGCCATGTCCTTAGAAAATGATTACATCTGCCCTGGTGCCCCATTGACCGTTTGACCTCCAATTCGGGCGTATGGCTTTCCTACGCATAATGCTTACACGACTTCACGAGCCTAGGTCGGCGGCGTTTAGATTTGTGCCAGCATTCTGCATTTCCTCCCTATACCTTAAGTTAAGGAGGGAATGTCCCTTCTTTTACAACCTCTGACCAGAGACTTTGACCGCCACCCGCCACTTCGAAATTCCAATTCGTTTCGGATTACGCCACCCACGTCGCCCAAATATCGTGACCGTACGTCGAGCGGTAGATTTGTGCGCACTGTTGAGCACGGAACGGCCGGACGCGAGGCGCGCATGTGATTCTATCCATGCGCACCTGACTATGTAGATGAGCTAATAAGCAAGATACTAGACAATCCGCGACGAAGGTCGGGCGCTCGCCTACCCGGATAGCGTCGCCACGCGTGACCGCGTGACCTCTCCTTGATCGAGCTCGCTGAGAATGTCGGAGAGGATCGGGACGATGTTGTCAGTCGTTCATCCTTTCCGGAGGCGTCGATTGAAACGTCAGAACGCTCAGAGACAGAAGATGAGTTGATATTGGATCTGATAGTTCACCTTGCCAGCCAGCACCGATATCAACCTGCAGAGAGAGGAGAGAGAAGAGAGAGTGAGAGAAAGGGGGCAGCGAGAGCAGAGAGGAGAGGATGAGAGAGAGAGAAGAGAGAGAGAGAGAGAGAGAGAGAGCCGAGAGAGATAGCGAGCGCAGCGAGCGAGCGAGCGGAGAGTGAGAGAGAGAGAGAGAAGAGAGAGGAGAGAGAAGAGAGAGAGAAGAGAGAGAGAGAGAGAGAGAGATAGAGAGAGAGAGAGAGCAGGGGTGAGAGAGGAATGAGCTGAGCAGAAATGACCGAGAGGTGAGAGAGGTGAACATTGAGGGTGGGGAATCCAATTTTTTTTTAAACTGCTACATTTCTTCCAAAATATCAACAGCCAATCACAATCTGGCAATTCCCGTGCTTACTCTCGTGAGAGTGATAACATAAACAAATCTTGCGGCCACCCTCTGGCGCCTCTATGAGAACACGTCTACGTCGATATTCCGTCGAGACTGACGAATGCGAAGCGATACTCGTCCACCCTCAGCATCATCTGCAAGCAGCGCGCCACCGTCTGCAAAAACTCGTTACCCTGGAAACGAGAAGATGCAAAGTGATGACGACAACGACGATAATGACGATGATGATGACACGCGACGACGGACGGACGACGACGACGACGACGACGACGACGACGACGAAGAATAAAGAAATGATTGAAGCGAATTAAAGGAGAAACGTGCATGACGCACCGCTACCCAATGTGGTTGGGGGTTAGGGTTAGGGTTAGTGTTGCGGAACAGTTAGGGTTATGGTGTAGGTAGGTTAGGTTAAGATTTGCCTGTCTCAGTTATGTACCAGCTGCTCAATCACATCTCAGCAATGTCTCAGCAAGCAGCTCAACATTGCGTACGTACCATACCACGCCCTCAGGACACGTCGCAGCTACAGTACCCCCGACTTCAGTCTACCGACTGTCTCAGCTGCTCCTTGAGCCAGTTGAGGTAGAACTGTAGATCAGCTCCCTCCATCGGCTCACGGTTCCAGCACGCGATCTTAGCGATGATTCGACTCGTCTGCCGGAAAAAAAAGCCACAGTTCCTCATCCGGAAATAAGCTTCCTCGTTCTCCATTCGTTGGCCGTTCGTTCAGACTTCTTTGTTCGCACATTGACCGGCCGCCCCACCACCAGTCGACCACCACCGCCCACCACCAACTACTACTATTACTTCTTCTTGCTTCCTCTTCTTCATGCACTTCCAGCCCGCACAACGCACCACAAACTCACCACCACCACCCCGTACCTGATTCCGGGCTGCCCACCCCCACCGCACCTGGCCGACCACCACCAACACCACCACCACTCACCACCACCACCACCACCACCAGCACCACTCACCAGCAGAGCAGGCAGCAGCAGCAAGCAGCAGCAAGCCAACACCACCACCACCAATCCACCATCCAGCAGCAGGCAGCAGCAAGCAGCACCACCACCACCACCACAACCACCACACACTCACCAACCCACCAACTACTACTTAACTGATTACCTTCTCATTCTTCCTCTTACTTCATCACTTCCAGACCCGCTGTCACATCAACCACCACAACCCCACCGCCACCACCACCACCACTACCTAGTATACTTCTTCTTCTTCTTTCTCTTCTTTCATCACTTCCAGGCCACCCCAACCGCCACGACACCACCGCCACAACTAAAATAACTATTACTCTTCTTCTTCTTCCTACTTCTTGGCATACACTTGCCAGGCCGCACACAAATACCACCACCCATCACCACGTAACTAAACTACTATTACTGTTCTTACTTCCATCACTTCCAGTCCACCCCCCCCGCCCAGCAGCCGCCACAACACCACCACCACCACCACACACCACCACCCACCACCACCATCACGCACTACTAGCTTACTATTACTTCGTCTTCATCACTTCCAGCCGCCACAAGCAACACTCAACACAACCACCACGCCACACCAACTACTAGTATTACTTCTTCTTCTTCAATCACTTCCACCGCCACAACACCACCAACCAACCACCAACCACTGACTAGTATTACTTCTTCTTTCTCTCTCTTCATCACTTCCCAGCCGCTACAAACCACACAAACCACCACGACGCAGCGCCACCACCACTACTAGTATTACTCTTCTTTCTCTTCTTCATCACATTCCAGGCCGCCACAACTACCACGACCACGCACCGCCACCGCCCATCACTCACTACTACTACTTCTTCTCTTCATCACTTCCACCGCCACAACCAACCACGACTCACGCCGCCACCTCCACTACGTAGTATTTACTCTTCTTCTTCTTCATCACTTCCAGCCGCCGCCACAACCAACCATGAGCCACAACCAACCACCGCCACCACTACTACTAGTATTACTTCTTCTTTGCTATTCTTCATCACTTCCAGCCGCCACAACTACCACGACCACCACCGCCACCGCCATCAACCACTAACTACTACTTCTTCTTCTTCATTCAAGCTCCAGCCGCTAACAACCCCACGACCAGCGCCCACACCACTACTAGTATTTACTTCTTCTTCTTACTTCATGCACTTCCAGCCGCCGACAACCACCCACGACCAACAAACCACGCACGCGCCACCAACTACTACTAGTATTACTTCTTCTTTTCTCTTTCTTCAATCACTTCCAGCCGGCACAACCTACCACGACCACTCACCGGCCACCGCCGATCACCACTACTACTACTTCTTATCTTCATCACTGTCTCCAGGCCGAATACAAACCACCAACCACCACCGCCACCACCACTACTAGTATTACTTCTTCTTCTTCTTCATCACTTCCAGCCGCTCGCCACAACCACCATGACCACAACCACCAACGGCCACCCCACCCACTAACTAGTATTACTTCTTCTTTTCTTCAACTCACTCCAGCCGATCACAACCACACCACGACCACCGCACCACCACTATAGTATTACCTTCTTCTTACTTTTCTCTTCTTCATACAACTTCCAGCCACCCGGCCACAACTACCCACGACCACCACCGCCACCAGCCATCACCACTACTAACTACTCTTCTTCTTCGATGCACTTCCAAGCCGCCACAAACACCACGACCACCGCCACCCTCCACCTACTAGTATTACTTCTTCTTCTTCTTCATCACTTCGCAGCCGCCACAACCACCACTGACCACCACCGCCACCTCCACTACTAGTAATTACTTCTTCTTCTTCTTCATTCACTTCCATGCCGCCCACAACCACGACACAACCACGCGCCACCACCACTACTAGTATATACTTCTTNACATCCCAACTCGTTTTGATGATCCCCCCCAACGTCCCGAATATCGTGACCGTACGTCAAGCGGTTAAGATTTGTGCCCAACTGTTGATGCACGGACGCACGGACGCACACTCATGCGATTCTACAAGCTGCATCTGAATATGTCAGATGAGCTAAAAATTGATTGTTTCCCCTTTACCTACTCGCCTCTCAGGGTACCGAGTAGGTAGGTAGGTCAAAAATCTTTTTTATTTTGTTTAGACAAGATGTGTGTATGTATATTGTATATTCTGTTTTCTGTATATGTTTTTGCGGCACAAATGTTTGTTTTTTTGCAAAACAAAATAATTTTTGTTTCGTTTTAATCGGCCAATAAAACGTGTCGAGTAGCGGCGTTTTGGCCAGTCGGTCGGTAAAGGGGAAACAAGCAATATTTTATCTTAGACCTTACCTGTAGCATATCATCCACCATCGTGAGAATGTACTGCACCGTCTGGTCCTTAGCTATATGCCCCATCAGACTGAGGAACGTCTTTGCACACTGCAGAACGAGAAAACGAAACGCTCGCAACGACAACAACGACGCGGTGCACGAGAAAAACCGACGCGAGAAAAAATTCGCAGCGATCTCGCTCGTTAGTTAATTAGCGTTTATCGCTAATGAGTGTTAACCACTATCTTAAAACTTTACGCCGGTCAGACATATTATGTTACATAGCAGCATTGGAAATAGCAAGGCTCTCTGGGACTGGGTCACCTTTGAGTGGGACTGGATCACTTTCAAGGATTTTACTATAGGTTATGATAGTAGAAATAAAACCTTTCAAAGATATGACTGCCTGTTTGTATATTTTTTTATTTATTAACGACAACAGTTAAGATATCCATCTACCCGTTGCGTCCTTCAAAAAACGAAACTAGATCATACAAGAGACAATGTGACGTTTTGACTACTAGCTTTGCACGCTGATATACTAGCAAGTACAGTGCTCCCACCTGGTGGCTGTGTGTCTTAAGTATGGCCGCCCTCTTCTCTGCGGTGGTATTGTCAAACATCGTGATAAAATTGTAGTCCTCAATGGAAATCATCTGGCTTCTGTAAGTGCATGCAAGTTCGATGAGGGAAAGTTAAGAGAGGGAAAAAACGTGCACATTTTCTCCAGAAAGGTGACGGCCAAAACGTACTTCTCCCTAGAGAAGTTTTAGGGTTACCGGGAAATTTTTTTTGTTAGTGAGTTAGACAGCCTAGCAGAAATATACTCTGTAGATAGGTGGTGAGAAACTTTCCACTTCCAATTTTTCCACCGAAAAAGTACGCAGTCACTTTCACTCTTTGAGAGTACATTTGTTTGTAAGGGGAAAAATGGAAACCTGTTCATTCTTAGACCCCCTCTCTTGCATTTGACATATAAGCATGTACTAATTAAGAGGAATTCTCTACAAACCAATCAGATACTAGAATTCCTTCACAAGGTTAGCGTCACGATCAACATTTTTATTTATTTAAGCCAACATCGTTCGGAAAAAAAGATTTTCGTATAAAAAGATCGGAAACGGTCTCTCTATCCGGAATAAAACAAGCGTATCCACTGCAATATCTGTTTCATCGTTCGTACGGCGCTTCTGTACGGCGGAAAGAAATGATAACGGAATATACGTACTGTTTGTACGACTGCCAATTCACTCTGTTGTTTCTAACGTCGATTGCCTTCTGCTGAAGCAAGCTGGTGGCAGCGACACCTGTAAAACTCAGAGTATAGTAAAGGAATAAGGATAAACAGGCTACACAGTACGTACGCATGTATGCACTCACGCACGCACGCAAACGGCACCGGCCACGACGCCTAAATTGCGGCAACGTGCCTCACACGCAAATCGCTGCATCTACAAAAACTGTACTTACGTGCCACAGACGATTGCAAACGATGCTATCAGCAGCTGGCCAATCGACGCATCACCACAGTATAATACAGTGCCGCTAGCGACATTTGCTTATCACGTACACTATGAGAAGAAGAGATAGCTTGAAGAGCGGTACACGAAAACCGGTTGCCGAGCCAGCTGATATAGGTTAGAGCAGATTTCCTACCGTCATAGCATATATGGTATGCGGCAGGTTATGCCAAAATTGAACAACGAAACGCTTGCAGACGGCCAAGAATTGCGATTTTTATGCATCCGAATCACACGGTCCGCCAGCTAATTCCTCTGTTAGAGCGGACTACACGGATGAGTCAAGGGCTATCCCTACGAAGTTGCCGACCGAAAAGCGTGGCTAAATCGATGCACGAGAATGGAGAGATGACGAGAACGCGCGCCGCGTTTGCGGAAGAAGCTCGCCAGGAAGAGTAGGCATAGGAGCCTGGTTTGAATCGGATTGCGCCGTACACGAGTGATTTGAACATTATCTCTCCCGAGAGAGGAGAGGACGCGCAGGGAACAGTGTGGGGCTGGCTGAATTTCCACCACACTTAAAAAGTTTGGTGCGTTCAGCCGCGGAGGGAAGAGTCGACCGTGCAAGACATTGCTTGCTTCGACGCAGCCGACACCCGGGCGCCGTGTATTTATTCGACCGTACAGCCGCAGTGCACTGGCGCAGCAGGGGTAATACAAGGTTAAGGGAGGCCTGACCAAGAGTGCGCACGCACTCAGAGAGAGGATGAGGAGAGAGGTACACCGACTCGGCTATCTTAATAGATATACAAGTGAACCTACCACAAACACGAGCACGTTTGAATGGGATATGGTAGGTCTGAGAGGACGAGGTGCGCGATTGTCTACGTCATTAATTAGTTTGTACTGCACGCGGGCGATACGAAAAATACACGGCCCCCCGGCGGAGACGGAGCCACGGTCGAGCGTTGAGCAGCGCCTTCTCGCGGGAGAGCAGATGAGCGAGAGCCGCGCCGAGCGAGCAGAATAAGAACTAGAGAGAGAGTAGAGGATGTAGAGCATAGGGAGAGACGAGACGAGAGAGCGCGAGAGACAGGAGAGAGAGAGAGTGTGTGGGAGAGGATGGAAGAGCGGAAAGAGACGAGAGCGAGAGCGCGAGCGAGAGAGAGACGAGAGGCGCTAATAAGCATTCGGAAGTAACGGTAGCGTCACATGTCAATCAGAAATTGCGCTGCGAGACATATCCGCCGCTTCTGTCACTTCGATTTTGTAACAGGTTATTATTCACTTTAATACAGGTATTGGTATCTAACACAATGCTTATTTCCAATGGGAGGGGTGGCCGCGAGCGTTTGCACGCGTGTTTGGTTGCAAACTCCGCCGCTAGCGCGG